TATATATATATATATATAAAATCTTGATTCGGATTCGGATCTATATCACGAACTTCCAACTTTTGATTTTGAGAACTCGATCTTCTATATTATTCCTCAAAATCTAGCACGTGGTTCCTTCAATACGCTTCAGGTGTATTGTGTCACATGTAACTATTCATATGATAACGACAAATCGCAAACTTGAAAAGTATATCATCTAACACTATAATTTTCAATATTAGGTGTCAACCCTTATTCCTTGATTGTTTACAAATTATTTATGATAGATATAAATTGTGTTACACTATTCTTCCCACGCATTTATATTAACACAAGTGTCAAATGAACTTTAAATTGCATGCCTGGTATCAAATAAATGCAATAAAGAAAACCACAATTTTATTTTATTTTTACAAATTAAAATTTTATCACATAAAAATATACTGAACAAGCACACATCCCACACTTTCATGTGTTGGGCATGAGGCCACGACACGACCCCTAAATACAGGATATACACGACACCCATCCAAAGACAACAAACATAAGAAAAAGTGCTGATTTTATCCATGGTTGTATATTTGTTTTGGGTGCAGAGACTATACAAAATAGGAGCAAGAAAGATAATAATGTTTGAAATTGGCCCCATAGGGTGCATCTCATCAGTTACAAGGAAAATTAATCACAGTGGAAAATGCGTGAAGAAGATTAACCAGCTTGCAGTAACCTTTAACAACCAGCTTGCCACCTTGCTTAGGAGTTTGACATCAACCCTGCAAGGTTCGGAATTTATACTTGGTCAAGTTTATTGGCTTGGATATGATGCCATCATAAATCCCTCTAATTATGGTAAATGATTCTAACTCTTTCTATTTATAATGATATGTGATACACATCTCAATCTTTGTCGAGATTTGTGCAACAACAATGATAAATGATATGTAATCAACAAAGAAAGAAAACAAAAAGAGATTTATGTGGTTTGTTAATTGGCCAACATTCACTGGAGCGAAGCGACTGTGATTTCTATTATGTATAAATAATAGGGTTACATCATATATATGCTAACCTTGACACATACAAGATTCTAAGACTCATACAAGACTTTAAGAAAAGATTCCAAAAATACTCATGTAATGTACCACGAGAGTGCTACACCCTCACTCCCATCCCTCTAAGTGTCCCTGGCAAATAGATAGTAAATTACTAGCCTAAGAGGTTGATGTCATCGCTCCGACATCTACCTATTTCTTCCATTAAACATGTATTCAGCTCTATATGAGTCATTTATTACAACAATATTTACCTTAGCGAATATTATCCCTTAGGAGAAATAATGAGGAAAAAACGTAACTTGGGAAAACGTTATCTGGGACCAATAGGTTGGGCGACTCCTTTCAACACCTGGAAATGTTGCTTGAACTTGTCCTTGACAATATATTTTGCCAATATGTAACTACATTCTCAGAAGTGTGAACTTTCTCAAGCAGTAGTTCACCAGAAGAATTCAATTCCCTGATTCTGTGAAACTTCACATCTATATGTTTGATCCGTACATGATACACTTGGTTCGTTGCCAAATAAATGAAACTCTGACTGTCACATTTCAAATAAATTTTACATTTTTGAACACCCAACTCCTTGACCATTCTTGTAAGCCATAAAGCTTCTTTGGCAACCTCAATCATTGTGTATAGTCTGCTTTAGTCGTAGATAGTGCATCTAGAAATTAAATCATAGACCTCCAACAAACAAGTCCACTTGTCGTAGTGAATACATAACCGATAATCAATCTCTTATCATCCAAGTCCCCAGGATATTCTGAATCCACACATCCCAAAACTAAATGATCATTTCGCTACCTATTAAACACGATGCCATAGTCTGTAGTACCCCTCAAGCATCTAAAAATTCACTTGATTGCATCCCAATGTTGTTATCCTGGATTTGCCAAAACTTTCTCACCACATTGACAGCTTGTGTCAAATCCGGTCTTGTACAAACAATAACCTACATTAGACATCCCACTGCACTAGCATATGAAACCTTTGACATTTCTTCATTTTCAGCATCTATCTTTGGGCACTGAGCAGTAGACGATCTAAAATGATTTTGTTAAAGATGTACTCACTAGTTTTGCTTTACCTATGCTGAACCTCTCTAACACTTTTTAATAAAACTGTGCTGAGATATCGTAATTTTTTGGAATCTCTATCCCTATGAATCTCCATCTCAAGAATCTTCTTTGTTGTACTCACTTCATATTAAATTCTCTTCTCAACAAAGTATTCAACTTGTTGACCTCACTCATACCCATCGCAACAATCGACATATCATCCACATAAAAGTAATAAGAAAATAAAAGAACCATTGTCAAGGAAGGCTCTTTACATAAACACAAGTACTCAAGTCCAAGCTAATTGAACCCTTCTAGTTGCTTTATGTAAATTCTGTTCTTCTAAATCTCCATAAAGAAAAAATGTATGTACTTCCGTCTGTTCCAACTTCATGTCCAAATGTACTACTAAAGCCAACACTGTCCTGATGGAAGTGTGTCTAACCACTAGTGAGAAAATCTCATCATAGTCAACCATTTCCTCTGTGAGTAACCCTTTGCTAGCAAGCGAATGTTGAATTTTTCCCAGACACTACTTTTTTCTTATACATCTATTTCCATTCTATCGTCATCTTCCCTTCTGGAAGCTCTATCAATTTTCTAGTCTAATTCTTATGCTGAGACTCTATCTCTTTTACCATAGTAGCCATTCGTTTGCTCTTCTCTTATCTGACCATAGCCTTAAAATGTAGTAGGCTCTTCGCTACTATAATAAGTGAAAAAGAAACTAAATCTTCAAAATCATACCTAGTGGATGGCCTGGCCTGATAGTGCATTTGGCTTTATTTGTCGCTATATTGTGATGTTCCTGATCTCCTGAGCTAGAATTTTCTGTATTCTGCACATTATCCTATCTGAGATGGGTCTCTAGCTCTACATGCACTATATGCTCATTGTTGCTGCAGTTTTTTGGAACCTATTTTTCTTCTTCCCAAGTATGTTGTAACATGGATTTCTCATCAAAAATCACATATCTACTGATCACCACTTTTTTGCCTTTGGATCCCAAAGCTTGAACCCTTTTACCCACTTCTAATACTCCAAAATAATACACTACCTAGAATGTGCATCAAGCATCAATCTTTCCTAACTAGAAATATGCATATAGGCTGGACTTTCAAACAATCTCAAACTAGAGTAGTTTATCGCGCTGTCTGCCCATACTTCCTCTACTACATTTCTATCACTGCCACCCTAGATGACTTGTTAATCAAGAAACATGCCATACTTGCTGTATCTGGCCAAAAGTTCTTTGCAAGCCCTGCATTCAGCTTGAGCCACCTCGCTCTTTTTGCTATTGTCATGTTCATCCTTTTGGGTGGTACCGCTATACCATTTTGTTATAGTGTCTTGCTTATTGTAAAGAGTCTCTTAATCTCATGATGCACACAAAACTCCATGAACTTTGAATCTGTGAACTCCATTCCATTTTCTTACTTGAGGTATTTAATCTTCATCTCTGTTTGGTTTTCTACTTCAGCTTTTACAACTTGGACTTGCCAAACCTTTCCTGCATAAAGTATACCAAAACCTTTCGTGAATAATCATCAATAAAAGTCACAAAATACATGTCATCCCTGTGATGCTACCCTTATTGGCCACCCAAACATCTATATAAACATAGTCAAAAGTACCATTTATCTTGTGTATAGCTATCTTAAACTACACCCTATACTGTTTCCCAAGAACACACTACTTGTAGAAATTGAGTTTGCATGTTTTAACTTCCTTCAATACATTTCTCTCATAAAGCTCTACCATACACACTCACCTATATGGCTCAACCGTATATGTTACAAAACTGTAGTTTCTAATTCAGGATCTAGAATAGCAACTCCACGTACAACTGTAGTACTCAACAACTTGTATATATTTCCTGCTCGTTTCTTCCCGCTCATCACTGTATGATACTTATGCTCACCTTCATTACTCTAATTTTAGACTTATAACTAAACTCATTAGAGTCTACAATACCTAATGAAATAAGATTCTTCCTCAAATTTAGAACATGTCTAACATTACATAAACACCATTAAACATTGAAATTCTAATATTTTCTATCCAATAATTCTGCAAAATGCATCATTCTCCATCATAATGAACCAAAATTTACTAATTTGCAGGTGTCAAACCAATCTTTTTTAGGTGTCTTTTGATAAAAGCATGTTGAAACCAAAATTCGAGAATCTGTGAAATGATTGAACTAGATGAAAACGTAAGCATATATTCGTCACCACTCTCCGAGTCTTGTTTCACTATATTTGCAGACTTTGATGAACTCACTTTCTTCTCATCAATTCCCTTCTTCTCTGGACAATCTCGCTTTATGTTTCCTTTTTTCACACTTATAGCACTCTATGTCCTTTATCTTCCTAGATCGAGATTTATTGTCACTCGATACATTTCGAGCCTTATTTCTCCCACGTTCATAATTACCCTTCACTATGAATACTCTCATCACGGTCTTTCTTCCTCTGATGAAACCTAATAGGGCACTTGTGACCTTCTCCAACTCTAGTGTTTCTTTTTTAACATTAGAGTTGTAACCGAACTCTCGTTATAGAGAATTCAATAACATCAACGCCTTGTCTTTATCTTCGAACTTCACTTCAACTCACTTCAGATTACTAATAATCTAGTTGATATGTTGGCTCGAGTCCAAACCTTTCGTCTTGTTAAGGCCATACAGTTTCTGCTTAAGATAAAACTTATTCGTCAACGAATTGGACAGATTTCAATCAGTGATTCCTCATCCATGACACCATACATCATGTCATCAGCCAGACAAATCCTAATAGTTGCCATAGCATTCGCTTCCTTTTCCTCCCAATCTATGTCATCCATACCTATCGACTTCTTTCCATAATGCCTTCACCATGCCTTGTTGTACCAATAAATCTTTTACACTTTTCTGTCATAATCTGAAATTCTATGTTTTGCCGAACTTGAGCACATCAAACTTCATAGAAAAAATCCCAAACATTGTAAATCTGTGGTCTGATGCGAATTGTTGAGATTTGTGTATTAACGGTGATGAATAATATATAGTCAATGAAGAAATAAAACAAATAGAGATTTTCATGGTTCGACAATTGTCCTACATCCGCGAGAGGGAAATGACTGTGATTTTCATTATATATGAATAGTAGGGTGTGTGTGTGTATATATATATATATATATATATATATATATATATATATATATATATATATATATATATATATATATAGAGAGAGAGAGAGAGAGAGAGACACACACACACACACACACACACACACACACACACACAAACCCTGGCCCATAAAAGACTTTAAGGCCCTTACAAGACTTTAAGGAAAATTTTAAAAATGTCTGTGTATCATAATATAGGGATGCTACACCTTCATCCCAACCTATTGAGCATCTCTAGCAAACAGACAATAAATTAATAGCCCAAGAGGTCGATAACATTGCTATGCTTCGTTCTATTTGATGCGCTCTGCTCCAACATTGGCTTATTTACTCTAGTAAACATATGCTCCACTCCACATGAGCCACATATTACTACAATCTCTCACACAAAAATAGCCTTTTAAAATTCCTTATGATAGATATAACGATCTAGGACTCGTATCCGAACTTTAACTCATACATATTTTTCGCTTTAGGAGAACTTGTGTCATCTTATCCCCTGACAAATATTTATTACATCCTCCAAGATTTGAACTCATAAGTCATAGGTTCTGAATTCGAATTTTGGACAATGCGATAAACATGCATAAAGGATAAAATGGACACAAACTCTTCCAAAACAAACAGTATGTATAAATTAACGTTCGAGGGATTGTTACAGTAAGAAAATTCGAACAACCTATCACAAATATAGAATGTCGAGTACAAGTGACCAGTATGATTGAGCTCCATACTGCTTTCCTCGAGACAATTTTACTCAACAATTTAACAATGACCTTTTTTATTTGTTATTTTCAGGTTTAGAAGACTCTACTAATCCGTGCTGCACTACATGGGCTAATGGGACGTCAGCCTGCATTCCAGGACTGCCGGCATGCCATGATCCAGACAAACACTACTTCTGGGATGGTTATCATCTTACACAAGCTGTATATAAGGTTATTGGCACCCGTTGTATCAATGGTACTAATTGTGTTCCTAAAAACATAAAAGACCTCGTACAGATTTAAGATTTCTCATAGAAAGAATAAATATGTACTTTTAGCATCTAGTATTTAGAAAAGTACATTCTTGTGCAGCAGCGTCACCAAGTTAATATTAAATATGCTGTCACCGGCATTGTTTTAGTTTGAAAGAATAAATATGCCTATAATCCCTTTTTTAGGATGAATAAAAAAAAATGGTGTTCGTCTCGAGAAGTTTATTGGTCAAGACAAAAGACTCATTAGTAAATATTTCGCAATATTAATTTAAGGCTGCAAATATAGTGCACATTGTGTTAAGCGATAAACTTCATGTTGAATAAAGATATAAACATTAACCAATTTATGAGTATTATTTATAATTTGGCTTTAATCTATTGGCTCGTGATTGTTAATTGGAGGCTTTTGATGAGGCCTGTCTGCATAGCCCTTATCATCAATGCTCGTCTATTGCATCAAGTAAGGCATGCGAATCATCTCTTTCACTAGTCTCGTGATTACTTTTATGAAACACGTTCTCATTTTCAGCATTGTTGTTATATATATGTAATTGGATATGATGAAGAAATGTTTTCCTATGTTTTGTCAAGGCAAGAGACTTAGGCCATGTTTGATATGGTAACTTTTCCATGGAAAATGGAAAAGATTTTCCCTTTTCCAAGTTTTTACATGTTTGATGGCATCAATTTTCTAGGTGATTGAGATTCCAACTTTCAGCCACACGTGCACCTTTTCCACGAAATGGAGGAATTCATTTTCTCATGTATTAGGTGATTTTTCATTTTCCAGGTTGACTTTTTTTTCCTTTTTTTTTTTTGTTTGGAATGGAAACAAATTTTATTAACAATTGTAACAAATTCTTTCATTTTAGTGGACAATTTTCATATAAAACAAAATCAAACGAATATCAAAAGATAGATGATTGTCTTGATTATTATTTTTTTTGGGCAATGGACACAAATTTCATTCCCAATACCAGTAAATTCTAGCCGTTTAACTGACAATTTTTATGTAAAACAAAGTCAAACGAATACAAAAAAAACACTTTTATTTCAACATTTTTCACGTGGAAAATTATACCAATCAAACACAATAATTTACAATTCCCAGAAAAATAATTTCTAGACAATTCAATTCCTTGGAGTTCATTTTCTTCCCACCAAAATTTCACATTTACAATCAAACGGGCCCTTAGAGAAAAGGTGAGGGTTGAACTGTTGGACCTTTGGGATTCTGCCTTTTGCATTGGTGGACTGATCACCCAATTTCACCGTCGAGTATGTCATAGCTTAAAGAATCATCATGGCCAGTAGAAAAAAGCACTGGAAGGACTAACAAAAGTTAGTGCTAAAATTGGGTAGATGTCGTATGTTCTCCTTGTAATTTCAACAAAATCTTAATGAAGTTACTAAACCCATGTTTGGTTTAGATAAAAGTCATTTTCGTAGTAGACCAATGTATAGTTGAAGAATTGTGAATCTAATGAAATATTTGATTAAAATTAATTATTGACTTTAAATTAAATTTTAATAAACTTTTTCAACTAAACCAGTGGGAGCTAAATTTTAATTTTTGTCATTTAGGTATAATAATGTCTATAAAAGAATGCTACGACATCATATTATAATAAAGAAACGATCTAATGAACACACGATTATCTTATGCTAAACACAGTTGACATCACATACTTAAATTCAATATTGATAAATAAATTTGTGAGAATCTCAAATTTTGAATTTAATTTATTATTCGCCACAGAGTGCTTACAACCCATTACCACAAAGTATAAGATTCATAATCGACCATTACAAGTTTTTGGTTATGTCACAACCGTAACTTCTATCATATTTAGTATAAAAATTCTTAAACATCTCTAATTCTTATATTGAAATTTAAATATATTATGAGAAATATTAATATAATATAATATTACAGTGTCAATTGTATTTGAAAATACAATGGTCAAAAAAGACGTTTAATATATGAGACAATAATTTAGATTATTTTTAAGAATATTTTATTCAATTTAAATGGTACTTAAACCAAGAAGTTAAGTGAAATTCCCCGGATGGACAGTAAGTAGTCATTTTCGGGACGGAATATGCGGATCTAATCACGATCCTATAATAAGAACAAGGATCTTTCTCAATTAATCTCTTTACCCCTCATTCTTCGAGGATCAGAAAAATCATTTTCAAGCTTGAATTTGTTCATTTGGATTCTAAGTTTGAGATAGCCGTGTCAGTTTGAATGTTTATCAAATGGTTAGGCTAAAGGAAGGATTCCTTATTGATGGCAAAGCAGGGACTACAGAAAGCATAGTTTCACGTGATTACATAGCAACTTCTGCCCATGGTGTCGTTACGACGGCAGGTCACTGGGAGTGAAGTCGACTCGGCTCTCGAATCAAGTGGATTCATTTTAAAATTCACAATAATCAAGTTAATAATTTGCTCTTCCTCTATATCTCGATTAAAAAAAAAGAGAGAGAAGAAAATGAACAAATTGATTAAATTAGTTTAATTTGGGAACAAAAAAAAAATTATAACACAGAAATTTTTGAATTAATTAAATTCCTAAACATCCATTTTAAGAATTTTTTACTAAACACATAATTTGTGAAAAGTAAATGTTAAATTTTCATTTGGTCTTTTATTTATTTATTTTTTATTAGTTATTTGAGGCCCACCTGAAAAAATGAATTAAAAAGGGAAAAAGTCTTGTAAAGAGCATGGGTCTTCAACTATAACCCATGCATGTTTAAACCCTTATTTGATGGTATCATCAGGCAAAAACAAAGTTCTGAATAACGAACTTTTGGAGAATTAAGAGCTGAAACTGGAGAAAAATTTTAAGGTTACGGAATATTTTAGAGAAAAATTTTGAGATTAGTTACAGAATATTTTAGAGAAAAAATTTTACGTGCCAATGTGTGATTTTTAAGCATTTAAAACAGAGAGATTTGAAATAACACTGATCAAGGGCTAAGTCTTATTCATAGAGCTAACGCAGGCAAGCGGTTGAGGTTTTCTTCCTCGATGTTACGCTAATAATTGGGGGAAAGGAAAATGGGCACCAATTTATCTTGTGTTGCAGAGATTTGAAATTAGCTTCTTCTTGAAAGATAGTATCGGATTTTATTAGTGTAAAAATGGGCTTTATATGTGAAATCGCACTCGATCTGATTGTTGTGGATGGTTTAATTTCTACTCAATTCCTTATAATTTATTTATTTTTCCAAAATTGTTGTTTCTTTATCGTATTCTTCCTCCAGCAACAGTGATTTTTTGACAACATTTCTCTTGAACTTTTGATGCATTTGTTTATGGTTTTCTTCTTGCATTAAAAATGGCCTCCCCTCAAGTGTAATAGGTGAAATATGCAGGACCAAAGTCCAGTGGGGGTGGAGTAATATTTATGTCCTTTTTCTTATTGGAGGGTGATAGTGATACTGCTATTTTTTGAAAACGCAATGAAAGGCGAGGTCATGTAAGAGGTAATGCATGGATGGAAGTTAAAGAGTCTAGGAAAAGGAAATTAGGGAACAAGAATGCTAGAAAGGCAAAGAAAAGACAAAAAATTATGCCTCAAGGTGTTCAAAAGAAGGCAGATATTGACAAAAGAATGAAAAAAATGTTTCAGAAAAGAGCGTAGGAGTTCAATTCAGACCATGATGAGGAGGAGGAGAAGCTTGAGCAATCTGAACCTTTGACTAGAGATAAGTTTAAGAAAGATAAGTTTGAAAAGGAATTTTATGATGATGACAACGGAAGGGAGCATAATGGGGAAGAAGAAAATGAAGTTTCAGAAGACGAAGACAAAGACTGGAAAATTTAGCCGGGAATCATGAAGTTTACTGAGGCTATCAATGCATTTAGTGTTGCATTCAAGAAAATCATAAGGAATCCAGTGATGTATTGGTAAGAATATATGCAGGACTTTTGTAAGCTTATTATTGTCCTTAAATGCAAGAGCTCATATAACTTGTGCTATATCTGCAAAAGTTTGTATATAAAAAAATTCACGGAAAACTTGATATGTTTGCTGGGCCCTGTATTATCTACCCATAAGAAGCTTCTAGCAGAGAAGCTTGTCGAAGAAGAAGCAGAGCAGAATGTGAAGGGGGAGCAGCGAAGAAGCAGAAACACTTGGTATTGCCTTCTGACTTGTCATGTTCTGTGGTGTTATTGTTTTCCTGTTAAATTTTTTAAATTATGTTGTTCATTCTGATGTGAGAGAAGGGTCATGTGAAGCCTGCCAACTATTTCAGATTTTTCCAAGTTCCTGCCCGTTAAATTTTCGAGTATTGGGAAGCAATAGGAACATGTATGTTGATATGTGGTGAAGGCCGCTAGACATATTTATTGGACATGGCCTCTATGGGGACAATTCTAAGTATGTTGGAAGTGCTTAGAAAATGGCCTTGTTATAAAGAATATAAATAAGTAGTCAAAAGTGAATAGTACTTGTGGATCACATAAAACGTATTGATAAAAAGTGGTTTGACAAAAAATGTTAATAACTCTATATGTTTATAAACACTTCCCAGACACTCTATAATTTCAAAAGTAGCTTGATCCGAAAGGGATCTCTTGCCACTCTTTGGGATAGTTACAGAGCGGCGCAAATCAACTGCCTCGAGAATATTTGGTTGAATTCCTTTGTCAAACTTACTCTTGATTGCATAGTTCATTAGTTCCAATCGTCTTGTTTATGTCCTTGTCGTAGTGGTGTACTATGTGTTGATGGCACTCCCATTGGATGCAATCATATCAGTGAATCCATGCTGCACGGTATTGATTGGATCTTTGGAGATGTGTCTTCATGTACGTTGAATAAAAGTACAAACCTTATATCAACATTATTATGATTACAAAAGCATTAACAATCTGAGACATGGTTCCCAAAAATTCCATACAAAAGGTGAAACAGCTTTCATAAGGTGAATTTTTCAAGGTCTCTCTCTGTACAAATAGTTCATTTCTTCTGAAATAGTTTCTATCTTTTGGATGAAAAAAAAAACTGAATGATTTTCATGGTCAAGAAAACCTTCAAACTCCTCGCGTTCTCGGGAATCGAGTTACCTCTATGTTTCTGTATGAATTACATATTTACAAGAACTCATATATACTGTCATGTCGTTTCTTACT